CACTTATTTACTTATGACGCCTTATTATGCATAATTTAACACTCTTATTTTTTTTCTTGAAAAAAAAAAAATGCTAAGTTCTTTTCAACTGCTACTAAAAATTTGTTTCAATTTATTTTGCTATATTTCGAAAGTAATTTACTATTAGCATGCTAAATAATTTTAAAGCATTGTTAATTTTCTTCGTATTAGCAAGTGAAATAGATTTGCTTAATTAGTTAGCAAAAAGTTTCCTTATAATTTTAAATTTGTAAATTTGGAAAAATTATTTTAACATTTTACTTTTATAACAGAAGAATTTCTGATTACATAACAAATACATTGCATCGTTATCCTTAAAAAAAGAAAAAAAAAACTTCGCTTAATTTATTTTATGCGATTTTTCATATTCACATGTCTGTCAAATCATCCATTCTCGTTTTCTTTAATACTGACCATTTTTTTTTTTTTTGTCAAGAAGAAAGATTAAACAATGTTCCGGAAGTACTGAAGAGTAAAATATTTTTAATTAATCAAATCTTTGAATCAAATGTAAACCATCAACAAAATATTTTTAGATGCAAATTTTGATGCAACTTATTTCTCTTTGCTCTCTGAATGTAACTTTTCTCAGTCTAAAAACTACAAAAATAATAATTTTATGAGCTAATGAAAATGATGAAAAAATGATAAGAATTTTAGATGATTTAATCTGTTTTTAAAATGCTTATCAAAATTTTTACCATTATCATTTATAGTCGTTCATATTAATTTATGCATATTGAAAGCTACAATTTTATACTTTTTTCTATTTTATGCTAAATTCTTATCAATATTTCAACTATTTTATAATTTGATTCCTTCACTACTTTTTGCTTTATTACTTCTTTCATCGATCTCTTATCTAATAACGTACCACTTACTTTCACTTAATTACTTTTTTTTTTTTTCTCATAAATATAATTTTAACTTTTAAAACAATGAAAATTCTAATGAGCAAAAAGAAAAGACTCATGTCAAAGTAGAAACTTTTCTTTATTTTTGAATTTTTTTTTCCTTTTTTTATTCTTTCAAATATGCATTAATGATGAATGAAAAATAAAAAGGAAAAAAAAAATTAAGGATTAAATTGAGTTGAAAGATAAAAGTTATGTGATAAAAATAAAAAGGAAAAAATTAAGGATTAAATTGAGTTTGAAAGATAAAAGTTATTATATAAAATGTGCCAAAGTTATTTGGTACATCATTCCTTTTTAGAATTTTTTTTTTTTTTAGAATGTGATTAATCAAAAAAAACTGGTCAATAATGGCATCACATTAAGGCATCTAATTTTTTCACAATCTCTCGCCTTTTCATTCCTCCTTAGTTCTGTCCTCTCTTCTTTTATTAGGACCAAACCAATTTAAGTATTATTCCTCTTTCATTTTCTTCCACAAATATTAGTTCATTACTAATACTATTTTTTTTTTCTGGGTAATAACATATACTGAAATTATTACCAATTGTAAGATACAATAATAATGTCATTCAAAAAAATTAGTCAGTTTAATTTTTTTTTTTTTTTTTTGTAGAAATTATCATTAGGGTATTTTGCTAACATATGTTATATTCGTTTTACTGTAAATTATGTACTTTATTTAGAAAAAAAAAAATTCCAATTTTCTCAAATTGCTTGCTATGTTAAGATTATGATTGCAATAATCTTTTTTCAATTCCTAAAATTTTGTTTTTACCAAAATTTTGACACTTGTTGGATATGAATTAGAAATTTTCAGTTGATGTATGGTATTATATGAAAAAAATATGAAAAACAATTTATTTTATTTTGAAAATCGATTTACTCTGTCAAATGTTATTAGTTTAAATTAGTTAAAATGCTCAATTGATCATTTTGAAGATATGTTGAAAATCAATGGATTGATGATTTGGCTAATAAACGAAACAATCATTTGGAATTAAATTATTTATTGCGTTTTTCCACTTACTAAATTACACAGGTACCATACTATTATTACTCAATTTTACAGAAAAATACTACAATTCAATGAAAAATTCAAATTCAAATGAAAGACAGAAATTTTAGTCAGTGCTATTGCAACAAAAAAAGAATAAGAACAAGAATAAGATCAGTAGCCGTACTTTTGTTTTTGTTTTACTTGCTACTTCTCCATTTATCAGACATTTAAATTTAATTTTAAACAAATATTTATTTTAGTCTTTGAAATTACATTTACATAATTTTTGCCTAATTTATAATATCAAAGATTATATCTATATAATTTTCCTTTTCTTTTATATTTCTAATTTTTCTAATACTTTCTTTTTCTTTTGTCTATGTAATCATCGAGTTATCAAAATTTCTGTAATTTCTTTCAATTTGTGACTAAATTACGGGTGGAGAGAAGCTTAAATTTTTATCTTTTTATATTCTATGTTATTATTTTACTTTATTTTGTACACTTTAACTAATTTCACCTGTCTGAGAGTATTTTAATTTTTTCAAAATTATTCAAAATTGTTAAAAAATTAATACAGGAAACATCAGCATAATTCATTAAGTTGATTAATTCGAATTGATTAATAAGATTGCATTAATTTTTTGCTCACTAATTATGAGAAGCAGTGATAACTAATTGATAGAATATATTCAGGTTTTTTTTTTTATCTGTGAGATTAATTAATTAATAGAATACAAAATGTCCAAATTTTCCGCTTTTAAACTAACGAAAATCAAGTAACGAGATTTGAACGAATAGAAGTATCTAATGAACAATCATAGAAAATGAAAAACATATTTTAAACAAAAGTAATGGTATCTCTTTCATATTCGATATTCATTTTTGATTATCAATCATTTATTAAGATCACAATTTGAATTAAATTCAAAGAATTATATAAGCCACTTTATAATCACAAAAGCATTCAGCAATATTGTAATAAAGTTTAATTAAATTTTTTCATTTCTATAAGTACGTTAATTAAAATTTTCACTTCTGTTTTTCTTGACTTTTTGCTTTTTGCATCTTTCCTTCTGTTTTTTTTTTTTTTGCTTTTATTCATGATGTAATAATATGATTTCTTTTAAATCATGATTTTAATAATTCTATCATTTCATTTTGCACAAAAAAAAAACTCATTTTACCAAATTTTAATGAATTTTAAGATTATTTCTTGAATAAATTTCATTTGGTCATTTGCTCCATTTTTCATTTAAAAGAAAAAAAAAAAAACACATCCATGTATATAAATTACCTTCTTGGAGACATAGTTCAATTGCTTGACATACTGATTAGTAATGGATGATGGAAAGAGGAGAACTATGTGAAAACGAATAAATTTGCATAAATTACAGAAGCGGACAGAGGAAAAGAAGGGAGAAGGATAAGACGAGGTAAAGTGTTGGGCGCAATATTTCTTCTTTTTTCTTTTTTTTTTGCCTCTCCATTTGATTCTTAACTAGTGACCACAATATATTTCATTTAAAAATAAAAAAAATTTTTTTTATCAAAATTTTAAAAATTTTTAATTTACGACAAATTAAAATTTTAGTTATTTTTATAAGCTCTTGTCACTTAAGTTATACAATTTTAATCATTAATGCATTTAATTCTTTTTTTTGTTAGGCAGATAGCAAAAAGAATACTAACTAACTGATTGATTTTTACAAAAATCAAATCAATCAGTTAGTTAGTATTCCTCAAAATTCTTTTAAATGTCGGATTATTAATAAATTACTTACTTTTTGTCAACTTAGTGGTGATTAAATTATTTATTTTTATCAATTTCTTCAATTTATTAGATTTACGATTTAAAGGAATAAACGATAAAGAACAAAACGAAAGAAATTTTCCCTATCATTTTGAATTAAAAACTCCAATCATTTCCGTTTTCTATTATTGTTACTTATTTATGATAATATCATCGCATCATTACCATCATTGCTTCTCATCTTTACATGCACTCAACCAATCATTTTTTCACCTTTACGTGACCTTCGACCCCATTCCTTATCCTTTCTCATAAATCACACCGAAATCACCAGAGGGAGAGGGTGTGTCACCATTTCGGTAGTATCCGGTAGCGTCCTCTTCCACTCCCACTCACTGTTCCAACCATTTACCCACCCACACAGCCACCCACCAATCACAGAATTCCTTGAAAGCAACAACGCCACTAGTCACCTCCTCCCTTCCTCCACGCTATCACATGAAAGAGGAGGAGGCACTCTGCTGTCTATGTACGTCTTCCTATATCATCCGTCTGTCTGCACCTGTCACTACACATGAGGTATTCTCTCTCTCTTCTTCCTCTCTCTTTTTCTTTGCTCCCTCTCTTCCCTTTCCTCTCCTGAAAAACTACCATAGGTTGGCTGTGTTTGTTCCAATGATTTCGGATTGTCTGATACATCATCATCATCATCATCAACATCATCATCAACATCATTACTATAACTATCACTGTCACTATTACTATCACCATTATTATTCATTATTATTATTTTTATTATTACTGTCAGTATTATCATCGTCATCATCATCATCGTCAATATCATCATTATTACAATTACCTAACTGTATAAAGCAGAATTAATTTCCGAGTCATTTCTGCTACCGGAATCAAAATCAAGAAATTTGCTTGGATCGGCGCTTTTCTGTTTGGGTGTGTATGAATATGCTATATGCATATACATGTGTGTGCGTGTGTGTGTGTGTGTGCATGTGTGTATATATATGTATATGCTGATTTCAAGCTATAATAAAGAGGGGTGGAATTGAAGCGGACCATCACCGAAAGCATCACCATCTCATTTACATTGCTGATTATTCACCGGAAAAGTGTTCCGATTTTTCGTCGCCGGTTTTCTTCATTTTTATTTCTGCTTATTTCTCATACATTACCGGTTGTGCACGTATATAAACGTGAAACGTTTATATTCTAAAAACTTTTTTCACCTTTCTTATTAATCGGCAATAACATAACAGATAATATTTATTACGATAAAATTACTTTAATATGCTAAATGTTGTCAGCATCATCATTCTCGGCATCACAACCCAATGATGAACAACAACAACAACAACAGCGGCAACAATCATCTGCGATTGTCATCAGCATACGATCAACGGATAACAACGGTAGCAACCGCAGCAATAACAATAACAACAGCAGCAACAATAACAACACTAATGGTACCAATAATAATGGTACCATTAGTACCAGTAATTATACTCAGGTTATTAAGCCAACATGTGAAGCATTCCAGGAATTAAGTGAACGATGGCCACCACCACCACCACCACCACCGCCACCACCACCACCACTACCACCACCGTCATTATCACTACCACCGACGGCAACTATGCCGCAATCGGTATTACAACCTTATCAACCGCATTCTGTAACTGCTACACCATTTCAGTTGTTATTCCCACCACCTCAGCCAGACTGGACCACCTACCATGAGCATCATCAGCATCATATTCAACAGCAATTGTTGCAGCAACAACAACAGCAACAACAACAACAACAACAACACCATCACCAGCAATTATCATTAATGTCTATTCCACAAGTTATCCCGTCACATCTTGCAAATACCGGTGTAATGGAAATGAAACACGAACCGGAACGCCCGGATGTTATTCAACGTCTTTCCGCTGCCGCACCTTCATCGTGGCCTTATGCATTTGCCCAGGAAGATTTACCCCTTTCATCATCGCAACTTGCTGATGAAACAGACTCTACTTGTTCTGAAGATTTGGAAGCATTTGCAAAAACGTTTAAACAACGTCGTATTAAACTGGGTTATACGCAAGCTGATGTTGGTTTAGCGCTTGGCACTCTATATGGTAACGTATTCAGCCAAACTACCATTTGTCGTTTTGAAGCATTGCAATTAAGCTTTAAAAATATGTGTAAACTAAAACCATTACTGTACAAATGGCTTGAAGAAGCTGATTCTACTAGTTCCTCACCCAATAGCGCCTTTGAAAAAATGACAGGACAGGGTGGTCGGAAGAGGAAAAAGCGAACATCAATTGAAGTACAGGTGAAAAGTCGCTTGGAATATCATTTTCAGAAAAATCCTAAACCAAATGCCCAAGAAATTGCTCAGGTTGCAATGGAACTACAATTGGAAAAAGAAGTGGTCCGAGTATGGTTTTGCAATCGAAGACAAAAAGAGAAACGAATGACACCTCAATATGGTCAGGAACTTTTATTAAATCCTAATAATTATCCACCGGATACTTTTGTTTACACATAGCTTCCATCTTCATTTCCAATTTTTTAAAATATGAATATTTTTTTTTATTGTTGTTTTGCTATTTATATTGCGATCAAATTTAAACAATACTAGCAATATTTTTGATCTAAAATTTTGTTTTGTGATATTATAATCACTTTTTTTTTTCAGAAAAATTTTTAATTTTACAAATTTCGATTGAAAAACTAACTTTAGTTAAAGAAAAAAAAAACTTCTGCAAATCTGAAGTATTTGGGTAAAATGACATAGGTTAGATTATATTTTTTTTCAGCTAACAAATAATGAGACTCTTAATTTCTACAACTTTCAATTTTTTTTTTTATCATATATAATTTCAAACTGAGTAGTTTTACCTAGTATTTTTTATTATTTAGTTTAGTTTTTTACAGTAGCTTCTCTTTCTTTCTTCATATGCATAATCTTCTTAATTTGACCATTTCTGATGAAAAGTTCTGATCGATCGCAAAATAAGAACTGATACATTTGTTGATTTTTCCTTTCGATTGCTAATTATATTCCATAATTTTTAATTCAAAATTTGATGCTTTTTTATGAATTGAAAGTGTATGTGATAATATTGCGGCAGAAGAAAAAAATTAGTAAAAATTTCTCTTAACCCTTTTTTACAATAATTAGAAAATTTGTGACAAAAATCTCGGTGGTTTGGCTTTTAATAGAACTATATCATTTTGACTTTTTAAAAATTTTCTTTGTTTTTTTTTTTTTTTTTTTTTTTTTTTTTTTTTGAAAGAGTTAATTTTTAATGCTTTGAATGTTTATGATTTTGTAATCTACAAGGTACTCGATTTTTTGCATTGATTTTTATTAACGTTTTATTTGATTTAGCAACTAGCTAATCAAAATTTACCGAATTAATTAAAACTCATAAATTAATCAAAATTCTCCCCTTTTTTTTTAGTTCAAATTCTCTTCATTCCCAAAATTTTTTAATTCAAACCCCTAAATAAAGTTGAAATGTATCGTTATTAAATTTAAATTCATCTCTAACATATCCACATACCTCTTTTTGTCATCCAAAATTGTTATTTCTAAAAATTTCGATTAACTTTTAATTTATTTTTAAGAGAATGATGTTTGCGTGATAGCGTTCATTTCTTACGAATGGTTTTTTTTTTTCTCCCATTGATTTTTCAAGCAATTATAAAAATTGCTTTTTAAGTAATATCAAGAAATCGATTACTTTGTTAATTACTTCATTATTAGAGCCGGTGTTTATCTTCCTTTTTCATTTCTTTGTTTTTTTCATAATTCATTCCTAACTAATTTCTGTACACCATATTATGTCTCCCAAAAAATTGATATGTAATAATTGATATATACATGTATACATATGCTATTTTTGTGACATTTTGTTAAAAATTGAAATAATATTTTAAATTTATTATCAACTAATGAAATTTTGGGATAAATTTTGAAATTTGAAAGTTAAATTTTGCACAAAAAAAACGTTGTAGCAAAAAGTTGGTAGCAATTTACATCAAAACACAATGAATGAAATTGATGTCAAATTAACTGAATTTAATTTAGTTATTAAATTATTCAAACTATTTCATATCATAGTCACTTTTTTTTTTCGTGTATGAATAATTTGTGACGAATTTTTGCTCAGTTTACATTGTTCGAACATTTTTTTTTTTTTTTAAAATAGATTTTTCCATAGGTAACACATTTTCATACTGCATGATCTTTGCTCTTTCATGAAGACTTGTTGATTGCATAAATTTTCGAAAGTTTAATCAGAGGGAAAAAAAAAATGGTTAATCTTAATTTATAGAACTTTTTTTTTTTTTAATTTAAAAAATTTGCAAGATTTATTAAATTTTTACAAATTTCACACATTTTATATTAGGTAATTCTACTGCTATATATATATATCATTTGTGGTGTTTTAAAGTTCATTATTCTAATTTCTGTATAATGATATGTAAATTTATACGTATGAAAAATAAATAGCATTGTTGATCTTATGAATGAAGCGACATTTTTTTTACAATATGCGTTGCATAATTAGTAAACTTGAAAATAACGAAATTTGCAAAATGCCTGAAATTTGCATAATTGGAATTACATAATTATACATAATTGGAATTCATATAATAATTAGTAATTCATAATTAATTGCCGCAAAATAATTTTTACATATATGCTATCTTTAATATGTGTAAAATTTTGAATCATTTCGACTTTGGAAATTATATTTATTCTAAAATAAAATATTAAAAAAAAAACTATCATAAATTTATAATGATTTTAATTTCTCTTAATTTTGAAAGCAATCAAATTGCAATTATTTTTGTATTCGTTGAATGAATCAATTTACAATTAATACGCTGTATAAATGAGTTTATTATACCTTACATATATATGTATAATGCACATTTTTCTAATTATTTGCCAAATTTCTACTCACAATAAGCAGAATTAATCATCATTGATTGAATATTTGTTAAATACAACTCACCAAAATACGGTAATGTTCTTTAATAGCAGCAAAAAAAAAAAATAAAATAAGAAAAAAGAAAGAAAGAAGAGAAAAAGTAAAAGATAAATAAAATTAAATTAAATTTAAAAAAAAAAAAAAAAAACGAGAAAAAACGAAAAAATAATAAAAAGGAAAGAAAAATTATTAACAGGATAAAAATAAAATGAGAGATTAGTCAAAAAATTAATTTCATTTTATCAAATAACATCAACTTTTTTTCTTTTAAATTGAACAACAAAAAAAAAAAAATTGTTTTTTAAATTAAGAAAAAAAGAAAAGGAAAATGATATAAATTTTTTAAATTATGATAGCAAAATTTATAAGTGTCTAAAGAATAATAATAAAGAAAGATTGATAACTAACAAAAAAAAAAAAAAAAAAAACAGAAAAAGAGGAAAAATAAAGGCAAAATATGGATTACGATATGTTTCGTTTTTATCGTATCGTTTCGAAGAGATACAAACAAAACAGAGAGGTTAAGAAAAAAAAAAAAAAAAAGAAAAAAGAAAAAAGAAAAAAAAACGCTTGAAAAGGGTTAGAAAACGATCTGAGATTGATATTGATACCCACAATTTATTGCATTATCACTAGATTGCTATTTTTAATATATATATATGATATTTATATGTTCGATATAGCATAAATGTGATAGCTAAATCTTATGATTTTCTTAAAATGACTCTGAATCACTTTTAATATATTCCTTTTTTTTTTTTTTTATTTATTTTTATTCAATCAATAGTGAGATATGCTGAATACTTTGCTTACTATCATGAAGGCAATATTCATAAAATGATCACTTTTATGATTTCATCTTATCATCTTGTCCTTTCATTTAAATCTTTTCAAAATTCATTCTTTAGTTTATGATATTATTTTATAATTTGAAATATATAAGACAAATAGGCTTCATTTGAAAAAAAAAAAAAAAAAAAAATGCATATAGGGAAGAGGTGAGATATGATTTGGAATAAAGCGGAAGAATGACGTACGTGGAACAAAACTTGAACTGTCATTCAAAATGTCTGCTATTTCATTTTAGAATTCATTTTTTTTTTCTTTTCTTTTTTATCGATTAATGTTTATCTCTTATTTTTTCCATATAGTAACAAACAGCATTAGCAACAATTGTTATCATTTTGCTTCTAACGCAGAATTCTTTTTTGCTTTTTCTTTTTTGCCAAAATAATTTTTTGTATTTTTAAGAGAATTTTCATAATTTGAAATGTCCAAAGATATCTCAATTTTCAATTATTTCCAATATATTTATGTGCATTTATTCGCAACCATTTCAATAATTTTAATTAATAAATTATTTTTAATAATATTAATTAGTATCTTTTTAATGAGTTTTTTTTTTTTTTTTTCGATAAATATAATGACAAATTGTTATTAATGATTGAAAATAATGGCTTTTTATTTTTTTAAATTGCATTGAATAATATTTTTTTTAAAATATTTTTGATTTTTAAAGAGCGAAGGTTAAAATTTTAAACGTTTTTTTTAACTTTGCTATTTTATAATTATAGATTTTGGAACTTAACAATAGATCGTCTTTAACAATAAAATCATTTTCAAATTTTATTCATATATATTAGCTATGAAATTGAAGAATACTGCATGACTTTTTGAATGGAATGAAAGATTTTGAATTTATTTCTTAATGCATTTTTATTTGTTTTCTCAAGATTTTTTTTTTCATTCGACATAATTTATGAAATTAGTTTGAACTTTAAAATTAAAATAACTTAAAGTTAAAATTGAGGAACTGAGACAAAAGTAAATCAAAATTCAGCTGAAACATAAAGTACGTAAAACATTGCAATATGTAATATAATATATATCCAATTATAATTTTTCCAGAAATTCGAATCATTTGGCTAAAACTTTGATTAACTCCCTTAATTAACTTAATTAATTCCATTTTTGTTTTAGATCAAAACTGGAGATTATATTTAGTGTTGATAAAATACATTATTTATTGACAAATTAATCCATTTGTGTATAAAATTGAACACAGTTATCTATTTTTTATCAAGTTTTTTCTTCTCATTTTGATAATGTTATTATTATCATTGATTTCTATGTTTTATATTTTTATTTTAATTCATTATTTATTTGTAATTCAATTTGTAATTTTCTGATTTTTTGAACAAAATCGATATTTAACAGCAAAAATTTTTTCTTCATATTTCAAATTACAAAGATTTTCTGCAATTTTTTTCTTTCCTAATTACTTGATAGTCAAGAAATAAATTAGCATACAAAGTGAATTATTGTTTCTTGGAAAATTAATTTACATTATTTCCTGTCTTTTAAAGTTTAAGTAACATCTGTGATCTTGGTATATGTATTTAATTGTCAATCTGATTTACATGTACTTCAACTCCATTAAAATTTTTCACATAGATTTTTTTAAAACAAATTTGATACAAAGTGGTTTAACAATAAATTTTGGAAAAATATTCACCTAGATTTTGGTGTTATACAATTAGACGCAAATTATTTATTGTATGCTCAAATTGTATTTGTATTGCTTTTACACATGTATATTATTTGTTTATTCATTTATTTATTATTTATTTGTTTGTTTGTTTATTTCTTCTTTCTTTTGTTGCTATTTTATTTTCTCCATTCGTTTTATCTATCGTAGCAGAGGTTCAATCTTATTTTTTAAACATTTTATTCGTCAGATAAATAAAAATATGCAATGGTTAAAAAATATTTCAATTAATGTCAAAGTAATTTATTAGTAGAAAATCAAGTAGATATTTTTGAAGTTCACAGAAAAACTCGACGAATACTTCAACAAATATTATCCGATTAGAATTATTTCAAACTGATCATTGTTGTGTTAGCTTATCAAACGGATGCTAATTATCGGAATTGTTCTAAGTTACTGATTTGAATATTTTTGGTAATTCTAAAACAATAATAGTAATAATAATAATAATAATAATAATAATAATAATAATAATAGTGCTGATATTTAGAAATCTGAATTATTTTTATAAATTGAGGAAATTTTCAAATAAGTTTCAAAAAATGGAAGGAATAAATTTGATGAATAGATGACATACATTATGCAAATATACACGAATAATCGTTGGAATGCATTATTATAGTGACAGTAGTGGTAGTATTGGTAGCTGATAGTACTTTGATGCGAAACATATCGATGACACAGCATGTTAGCGGTATCCTTTGAAGATTATTGAAGTATTCGTGAATAATATAATATGGACAAGTGGACTTAATAATAGAAGTGGTGAAGAAGAAAAAAAAAAAGGATTATTTAGGGAAAAAAAAAAAAGAAAAGAAAGAGAAAAAAGAGGAAGAAAGAAAGAAAAAGAAAGTGGAACATAGAAAATCTTAATTTCAATTCCTATAATCAAAGTTTAATTCCCGTGGAAAATCCTCAATATCACGAGTATTTCTTTTTATTACTGTTAAAGAGATGCAATAATGGAACAACAAGGTATCACGGCGAAATTCTCACACTTGACATGATAGATAAAAGGATGGATGTATCTTCAACATTTCCAATCTAATTAATCCGTTCTTCATCTGGAAATGATACTATTGTTATGTGAAATGACAAACCGGATGTATTCATTGATGAACATAATATTTTTTTTTTTTTTTAAATTATTTCAAATTTATTCGCTCAAATTCAACAATTTTTAATCGTTAACGGGAAACATTCTATTTATTATATTAATTTATTATATTATTATTATTATTATTATTATTATCATATATATATATATATAATATTATATATATGATAATAATAATAATAATAAATGTCAAGTTTTTTATTAATGGTCAAAAATTTTTAAATTTAAAGACTAAGTTTGAAGAAAAAAAGACATTATGTTCATCAGAAATTAATAAATAAATAAAATAATGGGATATTTGATCGAAAGAAGAAAATGAGAAGGGCAGAAAATTAAATTGTTGATTTAAATTTATGAAATGCTTTTTAATATATGCATATCACATATTGCAACAATTTTTATATTAAAGTTAAAAATTATAATATTATAATAAATGTCTCAATGAATTGAATCATATGGTCGTTGCAAATTTAAGATATTACTAGGATAAAATGGACCAAATAATTAAATTAATGAGGTTAGGAAGATTAAATTGTTAATTTTATTTTTACATTTTAGATGCTAATGAGTTACAATTAGAATAAAAATATTTGTATTCTATTATATTAGTGTTTTTTTTTTCTGCAATTTTAGTAGTTTCTAATAGATTTTCTGCCAGTATTTTATTTTACAGAATGAAATGCTTTATTCCAAATGCAAATAAATGAATGATTCTTTGAGTAATAATGATGATAATGATGATGATGATGATAATAGTAATGGTGATGATGATGATATTAATGGTGATGATGACAATGATGACATGATGGTACTTCTTGAAACGAAGGAAAAACAGAGAGCTATCACTCATCAATTTCATTAAAAAAGAAGTCAGATGGATAATTTAATATAATGAATATTCTGAAATGGAAATAAAAATTATTGAAGTGATGCTTTTTGTCACAAAATGATGTGACATTTCACTGGCATTGTTCATTTGCAAGTGCTGAAATGAAGTGCATACTGTACGACCATAATGGTTCATTTTATCTAATGCATTTCGAAAATTTTAAATTATTTCAATAACATAAAGGATAATCTTTGATCATTTTAATTAAACAAGTATATACCTTCCGTTTATTGTTATTACTATTATTATTATTGTATGTGTTGTATATGTTATTGTTGTATTGTTGTTGTTACTATTATAGTTTTTAAAATATAGTTTGGTAGCAAAAAAATTTTTTTGTTTTTTTAAAATATTATTGTCACAGAGAAAGCGAAAATGAAAGTAATAAGGGAGCGATTAATTAATTTTTTTCTCTAAGAATTAAGCAAAATTTTAGAGGAATAAAAATTTAACAATTAAATGAGATAAACTGATATATTTTAGAGCAAATGAATGTTTTTTCTTTTCTTTTTTGCATAACTATTTATACTATAGCAGTATTTTTATGCGATCAAAATTGAATGGCTTTAGGTTAAAGGTCAAGGAGGTTCAACAATAGTTGAAGAGAGCAAAATCATTTATCCATTTCTAAAGGTATTTTTGTTTTTGTGAATGATCGTAAAAATCTATAGGAATCAAACAAGAAAGATATGCAATAACAATAGGCTCTTGTGGGTCGATCGTAACCTTCCCGAGATATATATCTGTATGAGAGGATGACAATAGATGACATATCAGAGAGGGAAAGAGAAAGGATTGTAGAAAGATGAGTACTTTATTTTATCCGTTCTTCTAAAATACATCAGATAAAGTCCTATTCATCATCCTGAACCTATTTCGACCTCTGTCTTCATTTCAATTCAAGCTCTATCATCATCAGCTGCTCTCTTCTATCATTCATCTATTCATTCTTCATCCATCATTGCGTGCTACTTTTACCACTAATATTTACCGTATTGCCCGGGATACTTTATTTCAATATGCTAATAATGGATAACAGATATTAAATCAAGCTGTATCACATTTCAGATAAGAAAATTTTAAAATTATGCACACATTATGAAATTAAATAAAAATCATTAACTTATCGTAATTTGTATGCTTAGGTTATATGCAAAGATCATGAATATGACAATTTAATTCATTTGCTATAATGTTGCAATTTAATTAATATTAAATTGTATTTTGATGAAATTTCTAATTATAAGAAATATCGTTATCATATCATAAATATGATATAAAACTTTTATTTTATGTATTACTATGAAACATTTAATAAAATATTTATATTAGCTTCAATTAGTCTTTTTCCTTCTGTCAAAATTAATGTCATTTTTTTGTAATTTTTTAATTTTTTTTTCTGCAATAACAATTTTTACTTGAAATTATCAGAAAAAAAAAATAGTGAAATTACCTACATAAAACACAATTAATTTTCCTTTTCAAATTCAAAAATCAAAACCTATCAAAGTTTAATTTTAAAAAATTAAAATTTTAAAATTTAGTTTTTCTTAACAATGCTGCAGTATATAAAACTATCAAAAGTGTATTTAAAATGTTTAAAGATTATTTGATTTTTTGCCTTTTCTGGTGGTAAACTTCTAAAGGTTGCTACTGTGAAGAATAAAGTTCGAAAGATTACATTATATAGGTGAAAATGTCAACATTAATCATTTTGGTAATCATATAATGATAACAAAAGATTTGTCCACATCCTAAATCAAAAAAAAAAATGATTGATGAATATTAGAAAGAATAAAAGATTGTAAAAAAAAAAAAAAAAAATGATGAAAAGGTTATTAATTTAGACAACAATAAAATGTACATTATGCAAAATATTATGACAAACTTTTTGCATGGATCAAGGGATTTCTCTTTTTTTAAAATTGTTAATATAGATATATCCAATTATTATCTTTTGCATGGGAAAGTTAATCAGTTTTTAAATTCAAATTTCCAAATATTGTATAATTGCTTAAATATTATGAATCTGAATTATTAATAATTATCAAAAAAAAAAAATATGATTAAAAGAATAAAAATGAATTAAATTGTACACAGTTTATATTCATTAATTTTTATTTTTATCAAAAAACAAGCAAAATATGGTCGAAAATGATTTGATTATCATTACATAATGCCATCCTCTTTTTTTCATTTTTGATAATAGAAGATAACTAGTGATTAACCTATTGACTTAAATGATATAATAAATTGTTCATCAAGATGACATGACGACTAACCAGTTTTTCCCTTTTGGTTACCAAATAATATATCATTGTAGTACCCCATGTAGGGATACTTACGATAAGAATAAATTGCAACATTTTTAGATTTAGTAATTGTTAAAATCAAGAATGAATGAGAGCAAAATGATTGAATTAAATGTACCACCCGTTGCTTTTGTCGACAAATATTGATGGTACGAACATGGAAATGATATCAAACAATTTACGATATCCTTAAAATATCTTTCTTTACATTACTGGTAAAAGGGAATGTCATTTTAAGGCAATATTTGATAAAAAAAAAATAAATGTTTACCTTTTATCCACTATTCACTGTTTAATTACTTAAGAGAAAAATGCATATACATATGTTTTCACGTACGTGTATACGTATACATGCATACTCACGTGCAGCAGGTATATACCTTTTTTGTTCTACATATATATATATATATATATATATATATATATATATATGTTATCATGTATTGTTACTTAATTTATTAATTTAATTTAGCTTAATGGCACATTAACAGGTGGGTATATGTATGATCTATGTGCTCTGTGTGTATTTGTTGTATTTTTTACCGCAACAATAATATTTATTTGCATAATTCAATTCAATTCAATTTAAAAGTGAGACAATAAAAATAATAAAAATTTGCTGTTTTACATTATTTGTTGTATCACTTTATTGCAAAAATAATGATTATATTGCATGAAATTATCTCTATTTTAATGTTTATTGTATGCGAATTACATCGGTGAATAATTCTTTATATACATATGACAATAACTGTAATAATTAATAATAATGATAATAGCAATAATAATAATAATAATTCTTTTTAGTGTACAAATATAAAAACTTAACATAAAGGAATATTTTTTATATACATACATACATTCACCATTTAACTGTTCATTAAAATTTGATAGCAATTTTGCAAAAATGAAAAATTAATATTTCAATTAAATAATATGCAATTTCCGTTAAAGTCAGAAATTCAACACGCAACCATTAATATTTATAATATCAAAAAAAAAAAAAAAAAAGGATTTTCATAGAGAAGTATGAACATTAAAGATATTATCAATTATCATAGTGATTTGATTCATGAATTGTTTGAAAAGTTTTGCACGAACTTTGAGCATATTAAAGAATAAATTTACACAAACTTAAATTTATTAGCAATTTGAAAGTTAGAAAGAAAAAAATAATAAGTAAATGAATTAGGGAGTGTATATATCATGAAAATTAGAATTTTAACAGACAGATATGGTTTTTTTTTTTCCTCTCACCTTTATATTTTTGATATGAAATTCTGCAAACTGGAATATTAAATTAATTCTGCAAATATTGAGATTGTTCAATATTTAGTCAAACATATTTTTAAATATATATTTATTTTATATATATATATTTATTTATTTTTAAAATCTATTTATAGTAAAAGATAAAAAATGGCAAAATGAATTAAAAGAAAGAATTACAGAATTTCTTGAAAAATTTTGTAGAATTTTCCATTTTCTAAAATTAATTATGGCAAATGGTTGGGTGAATTTTTTTTCGATAATTCAATTTTGTTTTTTTTTTTTGTTTGCTTTTCTGCAACTACCTTCAATGTGAAATGCTTCGATCACAAATCATTCGTTTAAATGAAATGAAGCGAATAGGATGAAGAATGATAGTTGAAAATGACAATTTAGCATAATTGATTTTTGATTAACTTCATCTACAGCTTATCTAACATTTATTTACCATTTTTCAGCTATGAAAATTTGCTATCGACAAATTCAAACTGATTTTATTTAGAAATACATCGCATCATTTATTCAGTTTAATTTATTTAACTGTATGAAAGATGAAAAGATAATGCTTTTTTTTATATTTTAATATTTATTTTCTTATAATTTCTTGAGATTTTTTTATTTAATATTAGTCTATGAAGTGAAATAATCCCAAAAAAAAAAAAAAAAAAATTTGTAATTAAATAATCTAATTATATTTATGTATGTGAAACGTAAATGAAGTACTTGCATTCGTATATAATATGCATATTAATGTAATTAATTATTCCAAAATTTTAAATTATACATATATAACATTGAAATTTTATTTTAAAATTAAACCTTTAATATAGAAATTTTTTTTCATATGGCTAACATATGGATTAAAAATTGAAAATTGTCAGTTTGTGATAATAGCTTAAAGCTTTTGATACAATCATTTTCGCTTGGTACAGATGTGTTTGCAGTTGTGTAATATGAATAAATGGTTACTGCAGGAGGAAAATAAGTAATGTTGAAGAATTTGAATGAAGTGCAGCTGCAGCTGCATGAACAGCTGGTGGTGCATGCATTCATAAACTGATAAACTGGACACACATGCAAACACAGAGAGAGAGAGAGATACCCATGTGTGGAAATATTTTCATTGTTTCAGTATGCTTACTTTGCTATTTCAATTACTCTTATCAGTTATAATCTGATGATAATATCAAAATATAAAAGCGAATAATTAGGAAACATAGAGAAAAGGAAATTCATTTATTTGATTTTTCTTTTTCAAAAACGAAAAACAAAAACAAAAGCGAAATGAAGAATGAAGGAAATGAGAAAATCATAAAATTATAACAAATTATATTTGTTAACTTTTCAGTTTAAATTCATACTAACTACTTGAAATGAATAAAAAAAAAAAAAAAAAAAAAAACAAAAAAAAAAGGAAACAGAACCACACATTTTGAGAAAAGTAAACTTTTAAATGTATTAGATATAAATTGTGTTCGAAATTATTTAATTATAGGTTGTTTGTTTTGTTAGCAAATGAAGTTGAGGTGAAGTAGGATTAAAAATGAGAGATGGAAGTTCAATCAAATTATAATAGAACGTTTGTATTTGTGTTCAAGGTGACCTTGTAAAGATGAAAGTTATTCTCGCGCAATTAAATCAACCTTATCCTATTTTACCTCTTTTTTCATTTCTTGTTTTCACTTCCCTTTTCCCCTTCTCTATTCTTTTCCGCATTTCAAATAACTAACAAATGGTTTGATAGATAGATTTATATATTTACAGCAAATAATTGTTACATTCTTCAAATGATCAGTTTACCATTTCCTACCTTACCAATGTATTTGTTTACTATTTCCTTTAACTATCAAAATGTTTGAATTTTAAATGATTTTGATGACCTTCATAAGGTTGGAAAACTTCAAATAGTTAAAATATCTACAGAAAAAAAAAAAGAAAAAAAGCAAAGATACTACATTTTTTAATGATAGTACATGTTTTTAATATTCATATGTATGATAGATAATTTGTGGTGAATGATAGCAGGTTGTGATAACAGTAATCAACAACACCATGCAAACAAGCAAAAACAGAATTCTTATTATAAATAATAATTTATAAAATTATTTACAGCACTGGTACAGTTGAATTACTTTATCTAAAATTATTGTAACTGATTATTTACCATTAGCATTGCCATTACTATTATTTATTATTATTATTATTATTGTTAATATTATTAATTATTATTATCATTATCATTCATCACTACCATGTATATTATTATTATAATAGCCAGATATGAATGAAATCGTTAGCATTAAATATAAATTGTTGTTGCTTAAAATAGCACTAAAATTTGCTACAATGAAATTTGAAATATTAATTTACCACCACTTCAACATATTTAATACATTTTTCTTTCCTTCATAATTGTATGATTACATTTGTGATATAACTGCTAGACTGTTTGGTTAACTTTAAAATATTTTGTTTAACAATGGTTAAAAATTCAAAAATGATCAAAAATATAATCATCCCATTTTTGCAGTCAAAGAAAGAAGAAAAAAATATTGAAAGAAATTTGGTCTAAAATTATCGATCATATATGTAGTTATTAAACTGAATATGGTTAGTTATTAAAATAGATACGGTTAATTATTGTTGTAATTGTTTAACTGAATACGGTATACAAGATACCATGCGTTTTTGTCTTTATGCGCTTTTGTCACTGCTAACCATTATGTGCTACTGCTGCTGCTGCTGCTTCATGTGATCCACTTCAAGTTAGACAGCATTATAGGATTAGCATATCTCGTCTATTGTATAACCATTATCATTACGGATACCCGAAGGATATGTGAAAAAAGGTTAAGAGCCGGATTATGATACCATCATGGTATTCGCTATTTCTTTAGCTTTCGACCAGTCTGTAGAATGATTATATATGACAGAGAGAGAGGGAATTTAATTCCTTGTAAAGATAAAAAAAAAGTGTGGGAAGAAATTTATAAAAGTGATTAAATAATTTTAATAAAATATTTTTTTTTTTTTAAAAATAGCATTCATGAACACAATCACTATAATATTTATTATAAATTTATAATCTAACAAAATATACAACAAGTGATAACAATAGTGCAAATGATCATTCTTAGCTCAATAAAATCTATAGAATAAAAATTTTTAAATTACTTATTGATATTATTAAATACAGACAACGAAATTATTAGTCGGCTTTCTTTTCATCTGAATTTTAACAAAAACTTCTTGTTAAAAGTTTTCGTAAAAAAAAAAAAAAAAACAAATTTGTTGATCAACACAAGGAATGAATGAATAAATAAATAAATTAATAAATAATTCAACAAAATGTTAATTATCACTTAATTTATCTCTGCCATACAATAATGATTATAAACTCTCATTATTTCGGATCAAAAAAAAAAATTTCCAATATTTAGTTTAATACTCAGTGATAAAATAACACTTAACTAACAGCATTTAGGAAAGTTCTAATATAAAAACGATTATTGTGATCATTATTCATACATTAATACTTATGCACATACTCAATTAGGCACGCCCTAATAATTGTAAATTCAAGTAATATAATCATCTATTATTTCATTTTTGAAGTGAATTTTTTTATATTCCACATGTATATTCATTAAATGTATAATATTGTTAATATTTGTTTACTTAAACTAAAAAAAGCCCTACTAACTTCCAAATTGATTCTAACTATTCAAAATGAATTGATGACTTTAATACTTTTAAAATAATTGGTAGCAATTTTAAAAACATTTCTGAGTGGAAAAATTGCAGCAGGCAGAATGGGAGCATTTAACTCTAACTATAAAAAGTGATTTGCTAATAATAATATTAATTGATTTCTTTTCAATCTATCACATATTTATCACTTTCATTCGTTTTCGTTTCATACTGAAAAAAGAAAAAAAAAATGAAACAAACAGCACATAACAACAAAGTTTCTATTTCCATTTGCGTTGATTCATTCACCTGCTAACTTTTCAGTAACAGTAATTTGTAGACAAATGATAATAAAATGATAAAGAATTTATCATTTGCAACATTCCCAAATGAAACACACCCTTTCAAGCAGGATAATTTCAGCAATCAATAAAAAACAAATATAATCAAATAAATGAAACTTCTCAACGATCAAAAATTTCTTAATAATAATGCCACTGAAATTATCGGTAAAATCATCAAAAGTTGACTTGATAAATGGTGACAAACAGAAAAAATTGCACTTAAGAATACAGAGTTTTAAACAGTCTAATTATGGCCAGTCAAAATAATTTCAGTGTCAAAATAACAAAGAGCACACAATTCATTATATATATATATATATAATGTACGAAAAAAACAAACTAAAAATTTGTTAAAAACATGAACATTTCTATTTATCTAAATGTTTCACATGCTAACAACTTATCTGCATATGCAAAAATTTCAAACAAACATTTTCAACTGTGTAGAAAAGGCTAACAAATACAAAAAATACAAAAAATTTATTTATAAAAAAACAAATACAAAAAATTCAAACGATAAAAAAAACAAGACATATAAAAAAAGACCCAAAAGTAAAAATATTTCTTTCTACTGATACGTAACAGGTTGAGCAGTGATTGTAGCGTCCATTCGTACAAGTGTTTGTCCAATATTCCACTTCTCTTGCATGAGTTCATCGTAACGTTTCTGCAATTCTTTTTCACGCTTTTCCTAAAAAAAAAAAAAATGAATCAGATTAAAGATTATCATTTCATATGATATTCATATGATTAACAGTAGAAAAATCTCTCAAACAATAGCTTGACTACATGCACCCCTTTGTTTTCGTGCATTGGTTTAGAGCTCAGTAAATACTTAACTGTATTGTTTAATGTCTGTTATTACTGTACTCGTACAAATCAGTGTAAAAAATGTAAATGAAAGACTAGTAACTGAAAATTTTTCAATTACAACCAAGAGTCAAGACAACATTACGAACATGTGCAATCTTATTGAACAATTGTTACAATTTGTTCGAGATACCAAGAGTATTGGATTAGACTGGGTGGCAAATGAAAAATGATGCTCTGATCAATTAATATTCTTATTTTTTATGAGACCAGTACAGAATATATAGGTTTTTCTATGAACAAAACATAAACTAACCTGCTGCGTGACCTCTTCCGTAAGTTTGTTTAATCGCTTTCTAATTGCTTTCTCCTCATTCTTTTCTAACAATTCAAATGTAGCTTTTTCACGCTTACATGCTTCCAATTCTGCTCTTACTTCTTCGATTAATTTTATCAAATGTTGTCCGATGCTCTCAAAATTAATAGAAACGAATTATCTGGACAATGTCGATGGCAATTTTTTAAACAAAACATAAAATAACATTAAGAAACATACATCTGAAAATTAACGACTATAAAGCAACACGATAAAATGAAACTGTGAAAAGTATCCTCAATATCTCAGTATAATGTTTTTTAATGGATTGAATTACTAGAATGAAAATTAAAAATTACTTCCTAGAAAATTTCGGAAAAGAGAAAACTACCTGATAACCAGCCAATTTCACTTTTAATTTCTTCTCCATTTTTGCAGTTTTTTTTGCACGTGTATTCATCCAGTCTCGATAAAGCTGTAAAATCTATTGGCAATGTCTCCAAAATATTAAAAATGGCGCTGAAATCTTAATATAAAAAAAATAAAAACTACCAAATATTACCCTTAGTTTGTGAACTCTAACTTGTTCAGTTTAGCAGAAAATCTTATACGAAATTCAATCGAATGAAGAGCACACAACCTACCTGGAATTTAGCTGAAAGAGCATCAATTTGATCCTTTTTCGGTAGAACGCCGAGACGAGTAAATTTATTTTGTGCCAAGATTAGTTCCGATGAACACTGTTCAATAACAGCCCACAGATTTGAGTTCAAACTGGTATACTCTTCCTGGAAAAGAAAGTATACAATACGATTGTTCCAAAGATGTTAGAAGTGAATTAGCAAAAAAATCTGACATAAATTTTAAGACTGGACTTTATACATACCGGTCGCAACTCATTTTGTATTATTTTTCCTGCTTCTTCTAGATCCTCTAGCGAAATATCATCGATTGGGTGTTTATCAACGTCATGCTTCAAGATACCAAACATTTCAGCTTTAATCACATCATCTGCCTAGAAAGAAATGAATTATATTCAGTCAATCTGAAATAAGATATAGAATTAATATACTTATGAAGAGATGTAAATCAAACAGTTAGAATAAAGATATTATTTCAAACATTTCGAGCAGCCATTACAAATCAGCAAAACGATTCGCAAGTGCAGCATATTTTTTAATTATCTCAGACACGAAATGGCCCTGTAAATTTTTTTTAAAAAAAAAAAAAACCAATTGCTATACAAAATTTCCGCTTAGTTCATCTGACTAATTGAAAAGTTAGAAATTTCAATCGTTTAGCATTAATTCCTAACTCACAATAAACCACCTAGTTGTTAACAATAACCTCAGTTTATAATAAGTCATCCTTCGCTTGTAATAAAACTCTTAAAAAGACAGAAAAAATTATTGCAGGGAGAGAATTCACCTTGGCAATGTCACTCTTGCCTGAAATTGGTTTGAAACTCTGTTCATTAATTTTTGATGGTATTGGTAATCCACGTTGTATAACCTGCGATTCTTTTTTCAGTTTCTGGATACGCAACAATTCACGCGCTTCTGCATTTTGCGCATCCACCTAAAACACCATAATTGGACTTAATACACAAAATACTTCAAAAGAGCTCTCCAATACATCAAGCTTTTGTCATGTTATTATTTGACTTTTCACTTGGAGTTTTCTTATCATCTTACACAACATTTTTTTATTATGTGAAAGTGAATTGTAATAGTAGGTCAAAAAGAAAATCCGCATAATGTGTTAGTTCCATGAGCTTACACGTATGAAAGACAATCACTCCAAGAATCTAATATTTTTCTTACTGGGAATAAAAAAACTCACATCACTGGCATCCTCCACCCATTCAGTTGTTTCCTCCTGTGATGCTTCAATTTCTTCAGGTGGTACCATGATGACAAATTCATTTCGCGGTGATGGTAACGAACTCAATGCTTTCTTCAGCTCACTACGTGAATCACACGGTCTAAAATTTTCATGTGAACTATACGATTTAAAGATTTCCCTTAATCTGATATAAAGAACTAGACAAATTTTATTCAATTCAGTTTTTGAAAACTTACAACTGTGGATTATTAATACTCAATTGGTCCCGGAATGGTGTACTAGATGGTGTAGCAGGTTCTGACTGTCCTGTTGTTCCTGCAAAATATGTATTTTATAGATAAATGATAAACAGACATTATTCTAACAATGCGACACATATAACAAATTTAACAAAAATGAGAGTTAACAAGATTTAAAACCATAAACCAACGGCATACCTTGTAAAATTGAAGAAGGCGTAGCTGCAATATTTGAAAGGACGGTATTCGGAGTAACAACAGAACGATCCTGTGGTAAAGCCGACTGCAAATTTAAATCATGTAATGGTGTATTTACACCTCCTTTCAACGGTGTTTGAACATTCTGTAGTGCAAGCATATTTTCGGCTTCCTGAAACAGCTATGTATCAAACCGTCCTAACAATCGTTTATTAAAATTAAAAAAAGTTCAATTACTTATTGAAATCTTATCTTCTAACTTCGTAACAAATAAGAAAAGCAGCATGTTTAAGCAGAAATGACATCTTAAATACATCAGTATAATTGTGGGAGTAACTGATAGTTCAATTATAACGGAAGTTTAACAGAAAGTAATGGTTGCAAGATGTGGAATTTGCGAAGTAAAGAATAAGTAGCCTATATTACTTAATTAACCTTCTGCAAAGCATCGGCGTACATGGATGGCGTGCGTGCTGTCCGAGCAGTATTTTCATGTATCGGCATTTGATAATCATGCAAAAGTGTACTAAAACATCCATTTAATTTAACACATATGAAGCACAATTAGAAAGTTACTCAAAATTAAAAAAAATTAAGAAAAAAAAATAAGCGAAAAACCATTAGGAAGTGGAAGAAACCTTGTTGGATTGTTATCATTAAATTCGCGAATAGTATCTGTTGCCTGTCCAATCTTAACAATTTCTTCCATTTCTTTATCTGATATTTGTGGAGATGGCAAAATAAGTTTTGAACGTTTCTTTTCAACTTTCTGTTCAAAAATCGATTCAGGATTACCCTCGGCTCTGTAAAATGATCATTATTCGGGGTTAATTTATTGAAATCATCTACTGGCTTTATCTGAAGTACATGCAAACCACTGAATAATAATTTGGCTAAGGAAATGGCTTGACAAAGAAATTTCATGATAGCAGCCTTCACAGATACTCGCCCATTGTATCTGTTGGTTGAGCAATCAGTATATCACGCTATCACTACTTCATTCGAATTATCAAGTAGAAAAAAGTGGTGTATATATATATTTCAGTTATTTACAATTTTTTTCGAATTATTCTCCATTAGGCTTAGCAATAAAAAAAAAAAAAAATATCAACATTACTTTCAATATGAAAAAACCACATTCCAAGAGATTCCTGACATGATTACCTTCTCTTTTTTAACTTCTCGCGATCCTTTTTACGTTCCTCGTTTTCGATGTCGTCACGTCGAACACCTTCAATTTCGGCCCGAGTCTGCTTTTTGAATGTTGTATCCTTTTCAAATTTATCCTCTGATGGGTCATAAAATCCTGGTGGTACAGGTTTTTCAAATGGAATCTGAAAGAGCATGCAATTTAAAGCCTTCATTTTCTTCAAAAAGGACAACAAAAAAAAAAAAAAATTAAATGCACTGTGCTAAAAATAGCGTGCAAGAAAGACAATAGCACTAGATATAACAAGAACAGCAATACTACCTAGGCTGTTTATAAATAAAATCTATAGAAAAGAAAAACTCTAATAAAGACTGATAAATATATTTCAGCTCCGAGTATATGAAGTAAGTGTGGTATTATGAATATAGCAAGAAGAAACCTCTGCACTGTAATCAATATATAAAGGATTTCTACGGTGAAATTTGTGTTGCCCCCATGGTATACCTGCAGCACGCAATTCACGTCGTTTTTGCAGCGAAGCAAGACGACGAGCTTCTGAAAGTTGTTTCTCGCGAGCCTTGCGCTTTGCCTAAAACAAAAGGTTACGATAATTTCAACACAACTTAATGATTTGTCAATTTAGCAAATATAATCCAATGAGCGAATATAGATGAGTCTAGGTATTTACAGTTGCCACAGCTTAAAATCAAATCCACAATTAATATAACATTACCACATTGTTATGAAGATACTAAAGTAAGATTGGAAACTGCTGAAAGTCTTTTATGCGAGAACGACCTTTTTGCCTTGCGTATTCGCTAATCTTGCACGAGCCTCAGAAAGCATCTCAAGTTCATCTTCGTCCATATCAATTGGATCAGGTCTTGCTGGTTTAGTTTCAGGCGTTGGGTCTATTTCACCTGGCCTTAACTTTCTAGCATCATTCAGATCTTCACTTTCGTCCATTTGTTCCGCCTTTTTCTGGGCCTAAAACCATAGCAGTGATCCAGTAATTTCTAAGCAATAATTTTTGCACCTTAAAAAAATGTTAAATGGAACTTAAATATTTGATATATATTAAGTTGGTTAAATATGCTATATTCTGCAATTGTTTATTTTGACTGGAAGTTTTGCTATTTCAGTAATAACTCAGATTAACTTTACTACTCTGTTATTTCGGTAATAATGCATGTTGAAATGGTTCAATAAAAGAGAATTGCAACGTTTCATGTACCTCATCCAGTAGATGTTCGTAACGTTCTAAACATTGAGCAGCTGTCCGCCCAACTATTGGTGCGATTGTTCGCCACTGTGTCGGCATAAGCTTTGCCAAATGCAATAACTTTTCGTCTTCCGTTCGTGACCATTCCGTTTTCTTAATCCCAGGATCCAACCATTCGTACCAACGAGCCTGCAAAAGCAATGAAAACCTAGTAAAAGAATTACAGAAGTAGGACAAACAATGCAGGCAGAAAGGTCAGAAATAAGAAAAAGGAAAGAAGGTCACACTGCAACTGTTTTTTTAATTGTTTTTCAAGATTAATCGTCAAAAAAGTCCCACAATTATTCTTAAATGTCGGAAATATGAAAATATGGAGCATATACCTTGCATTGTTTTGCAGATTTCCTATGCAAAAGAGATGCGATACGACTCCATTGATTCTTCCCATATTTCATAATAGCAGCTTTGAGAATTTCATCCTTAAAAAAAAAGATTGGGAAAAGTCAAATAAACATAAGTAACCAATCATTTATTTGTGTCATTTTTAAATTTCTGATCTAGTGACTTTACTTACTACTTGAGTAAACTAATGCTGGTATTAAAATATATCCCAAAAATCGCACCACAACATTCAAGTATTTCAGAAAAGAATTCGACTAAATCACTGTAAGCAGCTCGTAAATTATGATTGTTCAACTCTTCGAATATACCAAAAAAAAAAAAAAAAAGAAAAATATCGCTAATAGTTATTTATATAATCCCTTTTATTATTAATCATTGCGGTAAAGAATGAATAAAGTGTACCTCAGTATTTCTCCATACACCACCTTTAATGATAACGCGCACCATCTTCTTTTTCTCTTAGCTTAATAAATCTTAATCTGCAATTATAATCACATTATATTAATTTGCATATATCGATTTAAAAAATTGCATTAATTTCCCTATACTGGTGCCAAAATTTCACTATTTTGCGTATAGTCATTATTAATGGCAACGACACAAAGTAAAACAAGTAATAATAAATTACTGCAATTATAAATAAATTGATATGTAATTCCGCTGTAACGACTTCATACAATCAACTATTAAAAGATTTTTTTTTTTGTTATACTAACACAATCGTACATCACGGGTTAAAAAAAAATGGGATTATACTGTCACGTGAACGACTGTATGACGTACGTATCAAGAAGGGGAAACAACAGCTAACAAAAAACGGACCAGACGTAAACAACAAACTACCACAAAATATGCTAATGCTACGTTAAAATTTAGTTGTCCGTTCTGAAAATTTTCGTCTCTATCATGTAATATGATAAAGAATGAGATTTGGTATGGTAGAATCATATTGTAGTTTGTTATACCTTTCATTTGAATTTTCATTCACATAATAGGAAATGTCTTGCATAATTTATCAAAGTACAAGAAACGTTGCAACGACTTAAACTCAACGGACGATTAACATTGATCTTTCCATAATTATTCAAATAGATACAGGCACAGTTTAAAGTAGCTTCACTTATCATTTGATATTAAATTTCGGAAACACATAGCTGATCAATTGGCGAATTATCTTCTCTTTAATGATAAAGGAAATAATGAATAATGTTCTTGTTTGAAAAGATTATGTTTTCTATTATAAGCTGCACTTTGTTTCCATTTTTAATAGAGAAATTTTATCAATACTTTTTTTAATTATGGAATGTTTTATGCCATCCGATCATTTGATTATTACATGAAAATGTACCATAATAATGGGCATAGAAAGTCATTTGCTTGAAGTCGAAATTTTTAACAAAAAATAGTAAATTACTAAAAAAATAAATTACTTCAAGCTTCACAAATCTTTGATTTCAAGAAAAGCTTTTAATTAAAATATAAGTGATAAAACAAATATTTAATTTACAGTAAAAATACTACAAGCAACACATATTGATAAACAAGGAAATTTCTGGAGGAAAAAAAAAAAACAACAGATTAGACGGGATGATTAGGCAATTACAATTGTCAGTACTAAGATATGGGTTCAAAAAAAAAAAAAAAAGATAATGAATAAGTGAAATGATTGTAATGGAAAGAATTCTGACAAAAATTTGTACTGAATGTAGTGTATAATAAAACAAGTTTTTGTGAAGCACAAAATATACCAAAATATTAAATAACATCAAAAAAAAAAAAAAAAAAAAAAAAATCAGACAAAAAACTAACAACATAATCAATGAGATAGGCGAATTCAATACCATAAAGTTCTTTTTAAATATTCATCAATAATATGTATATATTATATTTTGAATTTCCACTTCGACATAACTGAATTCCTAAAACATTTCTATATTCACAGTACCGAATGATCTATAATTCAGTACCACAAAGTCCTTTTAAATACTCTGATTGATAACCTCCTACATTCGTCCAACAGAGGCATAAAACGAAAGGTTCAACAACAAGAATGTGAGCTGCAGCTTGCTAGCTGAATGCCTGGATGATCGGTGAAAGACGAAACCATGTTGTGTCAGGATCACTAACCACAACAACATCCTCAACGCAAAGGTGTTTAAGTACAAACTGCACAGAGTATGTTTTTCGTCGTGCTAACACTTTACCTTCCGGTAATGCAAAACCATCACTATAAATAATCATCAGTTAGTTTATGAAATGAAATAGTTTTAATTGCTTTTTTGATATTCAGTGCAGTTAGTATGACAATATTTTTACTTACTCGTTTTCGACAAGTTCTTCCGGAAATTTAAGAGCAGAAGTTCCACGTACCAAAACACAAACACGAGTATTTCGAGTAATATTCCGTGCAGTATTCAAATTTGGACTTATTACCAATAAAGATGATATCCTACGTTGCTCCCTAAAAATTGTTGCCAATTGAGACAATTTGTAACGTTACTTCATAATGCAGTAATTAAAGTTAGAACAACGAAAAGACAAGCCGGAGGATCTGTTTTTATTTGTTTAAGACTATTGAAACTTTCTCAGCTAATGATTATACCTGCTACATCAAAAATGCAAGTGAAACTAACCTGGACGACAATTCAGCACAATTTTGGCCACAGTGTGAAAGATCCGATTCAAATGAATCACATACTTTAATAGGTATTCGATAAATTTCCTGTGGTATCGCACATGATGCACCAATAATTATAATGATTTCATGAAGTGCACGACGATTACAGCTACGGAATAACTCTCGCAGTGCTTCTCTAATCTGCAAAAAATAAAATAATTTCAGGATAAAACCACAAATTTAAATGAACTGTACAAATATACCCCACTTACCTACTTACATGAAATAATATCAAACTTCTCTAGACTTGTGTCAAGTTTCAGATCGACTTACACTAACTTCAACTAATCTTTCTCAGACTTAGTGAAAGCTCCTTTTGAATTTACACTACAGCTAGCAATTTACAGATATTTAAGTTTCTATTTATCTTCTTGATTTAAAACAGATTATAGTTTTATTCGCTATGGTTCCATTTTTACTAAAGTTACTCCTACTTTGATAGCATTTCCCGTTAGATTTTTCTACCGAGTATTGTAATTATGCAGCGGTAAAACACACGAAAAAAAGAAAGCAGTTAGTCTAAGTGACATTTTTAAGAAATATTCGATTTTTTGTTCAAAGAGGAATGAATAAAATATCAATTCATCAAAAGAAAACAAAACCACAAGTCACAGAAGACTACTGCTAAACGTTTTTTTTTTTTTTTGTATAATAAATAAAAAAATAAAAGATAAACAAATAAACCTTTGTATATGTTTCAAAAAATTTAATTTCATCGTGTGATTCAACGGTTGAAAGCAGTTGAGTTACAACAGCTGGTACAATCCCACGTTGATAAAGTAATGATTGCAAAACAATATCAACAGCTTGTAATTGAGCATGGATACATAAACATCGACCTACTTCTATTTGCTCAGTAATCATTATAACTTCCAGCGAAAAAAGCTCCCTGAGATATACACAACATATTAGATTGAACATTACTACTATTATCACATCAATTCTTATCCGTGAGTTATATTGTTACAAAACATATTATCACTCCAAAAATGAATTAATGTTAGTATTAATGAAAAAAACTATTGCTTCGAATTTCGTTCTCTTTCCTTGCTTTCAACTTCCAATCTTATTGGATATTTGATAGTGCCTCAAATGCACTAAGAAAGTTTCAGGCAAAACACGAGATGCTCCCAATTCAATCCAAATTCAAGTCTTTTGTTAAAAACTTTTATCAAAATTCTTGCGAAACAAGCGTTTTACTTTACTTTAACCTAAATTCAATCTGATAATTAGAATAATAATGATGTAGATAAAAAAACGCATCCTACGTAATGCAGTGTTTGGATCAATCCTATAAATTTTATCCACTTACCAAAGTTCGAAATTTTCTAAGCTTCATTTATCAAATCTTGTCACGCCGAATGTCAATTGATATTAGTTAAAAGATTGCATTGAAGAATTCTAATTTGCTTCCACCATTTAACAGGACGATGCTTTTTCTTATGATTTCTCTACCACTACTAAATTTAATTCAGCCAATAAATAAGACAGAAAATGATACCATATAAATTAAAATCAGTGATGTAATTCAAGTGTTAAAACTGTCTACAAGACAAAAAACAAAAAAATGCAGAAAATGATGTTTATTAATAAATCATTGAGATCAAACACCAGCAATTAATAAATTGATCAAATAACTGATAAAAACATTGTAACATAAAAGCATTACAGTATAATAATCACTTTGATTTGAGTTCTGCAATAAACCTTTCATACTCAGCTAGCTTTTCCGCATCTCTTCGACGCTTTCGTCGCTGCTTTTCATCTGCTGCTCTCGAATGTTCTGCTTTTCGATCTTTCGCTTTAGCATCGTCATTCTTCATTTTAATTATCTAAGAGAATACAAGAAAAAACATTTATAGAAAAATGTGATAAAAACAATTGGAATTATCATTATTTTGAAAATACTGTCTCCAACAAATCGCACTTTTATATTACCGATTTCATTGGATGCAGCAAAATTTCTGTCAAAAATCAAAGAAAACAATTATTTTTGTGATAAATCATAAATTAATGTGATGTAATCACAATTGAAATCTAGTTTATGATATATTAGAATTTGATTTTTCTCAAAACAAAAATCCAGGCAAGTTTACCTCAACCGATGGACTTCGTTCCAGATTTCTTAAACCATCCAATGCACGTACATCACTTTTTATCGTTAAGCTTTTCTCATATTTCACTTTCGCTTCACCTTTTTTGCCAACTTCTTCTAATCTAAAATACAAAAAAGGCTAATTCAATCGCTGATAGCATGACAAAAGATATCACGTACTGCAAATTCTAAACCATCAAGCTAACCACTTAATTTTGGAAATAATTCAAGTTGTTAATCACTAAATTAATTATAACGTCGAAGCAACAAATGAAATATAAGCAAACAAATGAATAAAACATTAGCTTGCTACGAATCCAATAATGAACTTCATCGACATCTGGTACAGCATTAAGAAATGATACATTAACTTTAGTTTCATTTCCCTATATTATTTTAACACATCCCACACAACTGTATTTAATTTTTTTTCCTTTTTCTCTATCATTTAGTTCAGTTCATTTTGTTTACTACCCTTTTCAGAATTTCTTACTCTTTAAAATCCGATTTTCAGATGATTTTGAGATTCATGCATAAATTCGAAATCTGCATAAGCGACAATTATGCATTACTTACATGAAGCTAATTGTAATTATTACCTCTTAGCTTCCTGTAATAGCGTTTCGATCATATAATTTCTTGCATTAGTATGCGATGCATTTATTGCCAAAGCTTCATCTAAATCTGTTTCTGCCAAATTATATTGCCCCATATTGGCATACCTGAATTACATGAAATCAACTTCAATTATTGATTTCATTACGGAAAAAAAAAAAAACTGCCTTTAGAAAATTCCTATCCTTAACCTATCCCTTCCGGAAATGAAATAAAAGCAGAAATATATAGAACAAACAACAACATACGCAGCTGCTCTGCCAACTAAAGCTTCAATATTCTTTCCACAAATGGAAAGTGCTTTGTTGAAATGCTGCACAGCAGCAGCATTTTCGCCTTCTCGAATCCTATCAACGCCTCTTTTAGCAACACTCATAGAAAGATCCTCATTCTGCCTACGACGGATGTAAGGAGCACGATGTTTTGATGAAAAATCCGTATCTGAAATTTACGCTTGAATGTTATGCACTTGCACCATCTGTTTTTGGATATATCCAAAAATTTCACATAAAGAAAGGATCATAACGACTAAAGTCAATTTCTTTACAAGCTCTTTTCAAGCTTAATTTTCTAAAACTATGCGATTAGAAAAGGTACATAAGTGCATTTATTTATTTCAAAAGAACCTTTCAATTCATGCAAAAAAGAAATAGCTAAATCGGTCTCCACACCAAAAAGTGCTGCGAGATTAGGATTAGTAGCTGGCAGATAGTCTTTGAGATACTCATCGAAAGTTTTGGTCCCAGTTTTCTCACCATTCCTTTAAATATACATCTTTGTTGAATTCGGAATTTTTTGAATCTTAATATATTCAAGGTTGAAAGCAGAAAAAAAAAAAAATAATCGCACAGAATCAGCTAATAAATTTTCCAACTCATAGAAAAAATCAATAAAGTGCATTAATGAAAATCGAATCAGTAGGTTTAAAAATAACTTTTAACTACTTAATAACTTCCAGGGAAAATTTCTGTAATATTTCAATATCACCTAAGTACTGCCAGCGATACTGCAGGGAATCACCTAAACTAGGAGACTAAATTTTTAATGAAATTGTAAAATATGAAATTCAGCTAACCTGAAGTAAGTCGGCAATTCAGCTTCCGTCAAAAGACCCTCAATTGAAAAGAAAAATGAATAAACTGAAGATACATAAATAAAAAAAAAACTAAGTCAACAATAAAATTATAATATTAAATTCATATTTAGATTGTTTTTGAGAACCATTTCAAAACCTGCAAAAAAATACTTACCGCATCTTCATCTATAGCAAAAACTGGAATTTTCGTTTCGTCATCAAAGCCAACTACCAGAACTGCAAAACGATGCGATTAAGATAGTAATAAAACAGTAAATTAAGATAGTAATAAAACAGTAGATTTAAATCGAACCTTTAATCAAGTCGTTTGGTCGGTAATCACGTCCACTTTGTAAGTTTCGCCCGAGTAAAACCTATAAAAGCATTATTGACTACCAATAACAATGGTTTTAAATGAAGAGGAGAGATCAAGAACTAATAGTTCCATTCCAAAGACAATATTAATACCAATCAAAATCAAGCAGTTAGTATGTTAAGACTGCTCTCCAATTGAGTTTGCTCTGGAATAGCTTCAACTGAACGTTAAAATCAGTGCCCCACACTTCATTATTATTCATCATCAAATCGCAATCAACACGAAAAATAATGTAGCAATAACTTCATCTGATCAGGTAAACCATAAGATAGTACGCATTATGTGAACAGCAAATATAGTGCTATATAATTATTAAATGAAAAGTCTGTCACAAAACTCACTTGAAAATCATTAATCCACCTCAAACTTCGTCGAAATGAATGTAGCATACAAATAGGTTCAGCATAGACACCAGCAAGCTCAACACGGCGGATTCGGAAACATAATTCATCACCAATCTAAAATTTAAAAATATATTTTAATAATATTGCTGATAAACCTTTTAGACGACACAATGTAAACAAGTATCGCCAGTACGTTAGTAGGATTAAAAAAAATATTATTCGGGGACCAATGCATTCAATATATTTCTAACAACTGATATTTAGATTAGCAATGATAAAATTAAACCATTTCAAATCATACCCGTAAATCATTATACAACTTCCTCTTCGCATCCGTGCTACTAATCTCCGTTGCAAAACATTCAAAAACCGGAAAACCATCATATATAGCACTTAATATTGTAGAATCATCATTCAGAAGCTTTTCTACAGCATCTTCAGGTAAAAAATCCCCACATTTCACATCTAAATCATTCTCCCTGGAATGACCACTGAATCCATTTGTTTGTTCATTTGCTCGATCATGATGATAATTAGGACTTGATAAACGATATCGATGTCGCCTACTAGTTGCAGTTGGTGGTGGTGACATCCTGTAGCAATATAATAATAAAGACACTGAAAATTGATCATTTTAATCTTAATTTTGGATTAATCCATCCCAAAATGTTCTCGTGACGTTTTTGGAGAACATGAATAAGACTACGAATCTTCGGCAAAATACGCATTCATCTAAAATTTTTATAAAACCCTTGATCTACTTGCAGTTAGTGACTATAACCCGACTTCTAATTTAATCGATCACATATATTAATAACAAATCTAACATGGTCTGATAAATTAGGAACGAAATAGAGACTTGATAATGTAACAGCGATGACCATAGAGCAATTCCAGAATGTTCACTTATCACGGAGCGATGAATATCACATTTGCATTAAGAATTAATGTTCAAAAAATATTTTTAATTATCCTTTTTACTTCTCACTTCTTTTAGTATTCCAGCTGGTTGCCCAGTGTCTCTTTTTACCTTTTTTTTTGTGCATACATTTAAAAAAAAAAAAAAAGTTTGCTTTCTTTCCCACAATTTCCCAATCTTTCTGTTGTAAAAATGAATAAACGCTGAAAGGTACTAAATAAGTAATAAATAGTAAAGTAGGAGAAAGCAATAAAACCTCATAACACAGTGATTGCTTCGTTTATACTGATTTTTTTATTGAAATATATGCTTATATTTACAAATAAAAGTTGGAAAAAGAAATCAGTATAAGACAACATTGCAACTAGTCAATAAGTGAATAAGTAAACTTATAAAGCAATTAACTACCCATCGTGAATTAGCAAAAAGGTGAATTTATACAGAACCTAAAATAGGTGATGAAAGGATTCGAGAAATAACACTGGAAAAGAAAACGATATGGAAGAGAAGAAACAATTAGGATCAGAATATAACAAGATATTGTAATGGAAATAATCCGTATATTTAACTCAATGCGAGGAAAACAAAAACAACGAATGAGTAACTTATAAATTTGAAAAATTAATGAAAAAGAGACGGAATAAAACCTAAAAGTAATTACACAAACTGTTCATTTAACATAATAGTTTGTCGCAATATGCCTTTATTTAATTAAATGACGAAAATGCATTAAAGTTGATAAATTCATGCAAAAAAATTGATCCAACAAACAAAAACTCCGCCAATTTAACAACAGATATCTTCGTATCGAAAAAGCTACGACTGCGGCAAAATGAGAAAAATAATCATTTCTGTTGAAAAAATAAAGGTTTCTAAAACCATTTGAAAACAGAAAAACGAAAGCACCTGATATTTCGTATATCACATTGAGCTACAAGATAACAAAAAGAGAAAAAAGTGTCAATCTCAAACACTGATTGTAAATAAAACAATATCACACTTTTAAATTATGAAAGCATAATCTTCAACAATGTATATCAAATTTCCGAGAATTCTATAATCATCCGTGCAGTAAAAGATGAAATCAATAACAAGAAAGACGAGGAAAGTATAACAATTCACAAGAAAAAAAAAAACAAAAAACAAAGAACAAATTAATTGGTGATGCATAATTTTGAAAAATGAGTAGCACGTAACTTTTGCAACATGAAGAGCCAAGTCTGCGCCATGTTTCACTATATGTGATTACAGTATCATTCGTACAGTTTAAACAATTTATGAAAAAGCTTTTGCACGAATAAAATAAAATGCTATTCAAGATACTATCAGAATTATTGAAACTGTTTCAAAATTTAAGCTACTTTTCCTGCACATCGTCTTCATATATTTCACGACAACCTTCAACGTGAAATATTGATAAAGCATTGAACAAGAGATAACTGCCGTAGATTGTTTTTTCTTTTGCTGTCCAATTTTTGGCAGGACCATAGTAATCACCTCTTCTGACATTTGTCAAATTTTGGAGACCTGGTTAATTTCATTTTATGATATAAAAATTTGCAAGTAACGAAACCATTTAAATCTTTTAGATTAAGTAATAATATCGTCTATACCAAGACGTTTTTCATTCATTTAAGCAAAAACACTCATTTAAAAGATGTTTGCCGTAATCTGTTGAATTGTTTCACACAAGAAGAATTTCAACTTATTCCTCAATACAAAATATATTTCATGGAAATGTAGAGATTTTTTTTACCTCAAGGACAGTTATGATATTCTTATCGAAAGAAAAAGTTATAAAATACCCAATTACATCAACATAGATAACGTAATTCAAGTAAATATTTTACATTAAATGATGTGAGAATGCTCTGAAAATATATATATGAACATATTTACCGATAGCATCAATCATCGCTGCCTCTCTTGTAAATGCTTCCGTGGGAACTGTATTCTGGAAAATATGCAACGATACAACACCACGGCCAGTATCCCAAAGATCGACAATCTTTTGCAGTTTTTTACTTTTCTGAAATTAACAGTTCTCTGCAGTTTCTCAAAGATAAAAAAATTTTTGTTGAAAAAAGTATCATTAGATGAAAAAAAAAGCAAAATCATTGGATGAAATGATAAAAAAATTTTAACAAAAAAATTTTTTCTTAAATTTTAAAGACTAGCTTTAAATAATTAGGTGATCTTGCATGCTTAATTCAGTGATCCGTAAAATCCAATATTCTACAATAGCATTTGAACTAACGTTGCTACAATATTTGTTTCAGAATATAGAATATGTATCTAACAATGAAATAATTTCATTCAGTTTTTTGCTCAGAAAACAAAATGTTCTAACAGTAAGAATAAGTTTTGAGAATAATCCAAGATTTCAAAATATTTCTCCTACCGACAGAACACTATCGCCAAAACCTTTGGCCCGGACAGCATCTATCAAATGTTGGAAAGGACGGGAACGTTTTCCTTTGCCAATATAAAATATAGAATCAACAAATTGCTGCATTGTACAGTTATTGGTAGGAAGGCTGATGATGGAAGGATCTGAAAAATACATGATTTTACAAGAAATCCGAACGGTAATATTTCTATAAAAAAAGTTTATTGAAAAAATTAGTAAAAGGTACTGACTTGTAAATAAAAATGTATTGACTTTAACCAATTTTATACATGAATTGAAAAAATAACATAACTAGCTAAATATAACAGTCAAGCCAATATAATGTCAAATTTAACACAATATCAAACTTCAACGACCTCTTTTCTTTATGACTCACCAATTAAAATATAACAAAATGAGGTAGGTTTATTGCCTCCTCTCCACTGCTCACTGGAAATCTCAGCAAAAGTGCCTATAAGAATTTGGTCAAGCTTCGAACCTTCAGAAAATGGTTGACCAGCTATCCAACGTTCAAGTGCCCAGCTATACTCTGAAGAAAGTAATTGAATCGATTTTTTAAATCAAAGAATTTTAAGGAAAATCAAAATCATTTTTAAGAAATCAGCTTATAAATATATTATTTACTTAATTTTGGAGCATTGGAAGGTAGATTTGCAATCAAACGTGCCAGTTTTAATTCATACGCAGGACGTGTAGTTTCAAGCAATGGTCCAATACATTCACCCCTAAAAATATATAGTTCTTATCACATTTTTCCCCGAGAAATGATTACGACCTAATTCAACATTAAAATCGATGAAGATAAACTTCAAAAGAAAAACATAAATTTAAAGACCATTCATGAGTTTCATGAATAGTCCTTAAATTCTAGAAGTTCATGTTTTCCAGTTCTCAGCAGCTTTTCAGGCCAGAAACTTTAGCTGGATAAAGAAGCAAGCTTCTTTTCTCGTGTTCTGAATAAAATCAAAGTGATGATATATTCATACTACTGAAATCCGATTCCTTAAAAAGACATCTGAGAAGTATCAGAAGGGAAAGCATACGTGAAATTAAATATTTAAAACAAAAAGCGTTAATTACTTGCCTTTTGGCTAATTCTTGTCTTAACTGTCCATCAGACAACTGACGCACTACTGCTAAAATTTCCGCCGGAATCTTTATACTTGAAACTAGAATGCAGCGATATATGTTAGCAGGATATTTCGTAAATTGTACCACAAAATAAGTAAAGATTATTTTACAGTAACTTTAAAATCTTCCAAAATTCTATTTTCCAAAAAAAAAAAACCATCTGTTCTAGGAAATGAATTCTAGATTCATTTTGAAAATTTTTGACATAATAATATGGAATCAAATTTAAAAGAAGGAAAAATTCAGAGAAAAAAAAACTTACTTTTAGAAGGAGATTCTTTGGCCACCCATTCCGTGACCTCAGGCGAGACTGAATCAATTTTTAGTGATGCAATTTCTTCAGATAAAACACAAGATGAAGTATTGTTTGAATTTTGGCTACAAGGTAAACCATGATTATCTTTAGTATTATATTCAAGAGCTGTAGCGTAAGTCGTATTATCATTGCTTTCAGACTCAGGCAGTTTCTCGGATGACGAAGTCAAATGTTGCGATGAGCGCATTTTTTCAGTGCGAGCAGATGTTCGTTCAGATGATTTTTTTCCTTAAAAACTAAATTAATATATCATCTCACAGTTTACTTATACTCGTTCATTTTAGTATTTTCAAGAAATCACTTGAATTCCTGACATTTGTACTGCTTAACTGCTAAAAACAAATAATTTCAATCAGGCAGATATTATCAAACGTATCAAAAAGCTTAATAAATTTAAATTTGACAGAAAAGTAGACCGGACTAAAAAACAGCCTGATAATAATTCAAAACAAAACAAAAAAAAAAAAAAAAAAAGAAGGGACTGGTGATTACAGAAACATGCAACCTTATTACATCATCCTAATTTTAAATGAAATACTTCTATGCTTCCTCACTCTACATGGAGTTAAACTAGTTCATTTTTTTTCTGAAAACTTATTTCTAAGAGCTGTAATGCAGCAGCTTTAGTAAATGTAATGCCATTTCGTTTTTGATAAGGAAATTAAAACAGAAAAAAATCGACGTAAGTGTCTAATAACGATACATATAGATCCATTATGAAAAAAAAAAAAACGACTATTTTGCAACCTTACTCACGAAGTACAGTTAAGAAATTTCAGGAAAAGTGAAATTATTAAAAATATAAAAAATTTATGA